TCCCTGTATACTCTCGTCAGCAGCAGCAGCATCAGCATGTTGCTGCTGCTGCACCTGTTGCTGCTGCTGCACCTGCTGCTGCTGCAGCAAGTCTGCTGCAGCAGCACCAGCAGCAGGCGTACCTGTACCGTCCGCAGCAGCCGCTGCAGCAGCTGCAGCAGCAGCTGCAGCAGCCGCTGCAGCAGCAGATGCAGCAGCCGCTGCAGCAGCCGCTGCAGCAGCACTATATAACAAACCCCTATGCGATGCAGCAGCAATATATTGGTGCTGCTGCACTGAATAGGCAGCAGCAAATACCTCTAGGAGCAGCAGCACTGCAGCAGCAGCTGCAGCGGCTGCAGCAGCTACATATAAACACAGGGGCGCAGCAGCAGCAACCCCATATACAGACAGCAGCATATAGAACACCACCGCGACCTGTTGCTGCTGTTCTCCAGCAGCAGCAGCAGCAGCAGCAGCAGCAGCAGCAGCAGCAGCACATGGGGATGCCGCCTCTGCGCGGTGATGCAGCAGCAAACCACCCAAATATGTTTCGTGGTTATGCTAGATAATATAAATAAAATAAAAAAAATAAAATAAAAAAAATAAAATAAAAATAAAATAAAATAAAACAAAATAAAAATAAAAGAAAATAAAAGAAAATAAAAATAAAAGAAAAATAAAAAAAATAAAATAAAAATAAAATAAAATAAAAAAAAATAAAAAACAAAATGAAATAAAATATAAAAGAAAAGAAAAGAAAAGAAAAATATTATATAATATTTATATAATATAATATAAATATAAATATAAAAATATGAATATAAATACAAATATAAATATAAATATAAATGTAAATATAAATATAAATATAAATATAAATATAAATATATATATAAAATATATATATATAAATAAATATAAATATAATATATTTTGTTTTTGTTTGTTTTTCGTTTGTTCGTGTGTTTGTTTATATTCTTTTTCTTTTTCTTTTTTTGCTGTATATCTTTTTATCTTTTTTATTTTTATTGTCTTTTCTTTCTTTCTTTAATTTATTTTATTTATTTCTTTCTTTTTCTTCTTTTTATGTTGCTGCTGCAGCAGCACCGCAGCAGCAGCAGATGCGCTGTAAGCGCGAGGTGTATAGAGATGCTGCTGCAGCAGTTTTCATGTTTGCTGCTGCAGCAGCAGCAGCAACAGCTGCTGCTGCTGCTGCTGCTGTAGCTGCTGCTTACTCCTGCTGCAGCAGTTGTTAACTGCTGCAGCAGCAGCAGCAGCAGCAGCAGCAGCAGCAGCAATTCATTCCTCCTCCATACAGTTTAAAAACACAGCGGCA